TATGTATATATGTATATATGTGTATGTATATATGTATATATGTGTATATATATATGTATGTATATATGTGTATATATGTGTATGTATGTATGTATATATGTGTATATATGTGTATGTATGTATGTATATATGTGTATATATGTGTATATATGTATGTATATATGTGTATATATGTGTATGTATGTATATATGTATGTATGTGTATATATATGTATATAAGTGTATGTATATATGTGTATGTGTGTATATATGTGTATGTGTATATGTGTATGTGTGTATGTGTATATGCGTGTGTGTGTGTGTGTGTATGTGTGTGTGTGTGTATGTGTGTGTGTATATGTGTGTGTGTATGTGTGTGTGTATATGTGTGTGTATATATGTGTGTGTGTATATATGTATATATATGTGTATGTATATGTGTATGTATATACATATATGATGATAGATCGATCTATCGATCGATCTATCATCTGATTTATGTATTATTATATCAACCTTTACTTTATTATGCGGTTATTACCTCATATAGAGCGGATCAGGGGGCCAGATCATCCCTGGCCAATGCCAGAATATCTTCTTCAGAACTTGTGATTTTGCACTAACATGAGTATGAACATCATGGCAGAAAAAGATGACGAGCGCTATTCATTCCTCTTCCAAGCCATTGTTGTGGTTCAGTGTACTGCTGACCTGACTTCATAGTGTCTGACCTCTCACCTGCTGAAGGAATACTTCATCACCCGAAATAATCGCTCTGTTTCCCTCTCACGCCTCCACGAAGAATCAAAAGAAGTGAATAAAGTCTCGATGAATCAGTGTATGGGTTCTGCATTTAATAACAGCATTTACAAACTCTCTCACAACTGGTGCAACATAATCCAGCTCACTGCTCCCCGAACACAAGCATCTAAAGCGGGTTTACAAATGATCATGTTCTGCGGTGAAGTATTCCATGTCGCTTGTTTACGTGTGTTGGGTAACGCAGGATATCTGTGGAATTCATCACACACACACGAATGTTAAATGAACAGAAAGAAGCCCATTCTCTAAATGCAACACTCTGCCATTTATTAACTTGGATTGTTATGAATTGGACTTGATGCCTAGTAGTTTCTGTGTTTTCATTAGATTACCTCCAGACAGGAAGTTCTTTTAGTAGATGTTTTTAGAGCCAATGCTGATGGATCTTTCAGCAATTAATCAAACCACCAGTGCTAAAGTTTAGTCTGCCTGTTATTCCAGTGAACTGTAGCGATAACATCAACCTTTATTAACACTTCAGCAGGTGCCAGTGAGTTGTCCAGAAATGCAGCCGTTAGTTTGGACACAGCAACATGCAGCTCGTGCAAATGTGGACTTGAGAACCAAACGACCAAACAATCGGAACACAGTCGCTCCTCAGTAGCATTTCTACAAGTGATTATCCAAATACATGTGAGCCAGATATAATGTATGCTAGCATCAACTTCTACATGATTCCATCTTTGTTTTCACAAAGTATTTCAACAAGTATCACTTTTCAATTCTTTTGATACTTGTACGTGTCGGATGTGATCCTGTTCACTGAGGATGGGTTCTACGGGACGATGCATGTGTTTCTCGTGTACAACATTTCTAGTATTGTAACTGTGAAAAGAAGATGACCTCTGGGTTCTAATTATCAGTCTGTGATTATTTTGATAAGTTATTTCTTACCATGCCGTATGTGTTGCTGTATGTCAGCTTCAGACATTGAATTGGGAATAAAAATAAAATTGTATGTACAGAGAGTTCATGTTGCCTTTGTAATGTACTTTTACTTCTGACCTTGTACTGTCCCACTGTAGCATCTGATATATTTATGTACTGTGTATATACTGAGAAAGACATCTAATTACAAAATCCAGACTGAGTGAACCATGGTTTAGATAAAAACACATGCGGGCATGTCGAGCAACAAAGCAGAGACTTTACTGAATGAGCGCTGGGTACCAGCTCCTCTCTGTGCAGTGTACTACAGTTCGTCTCTGCTGGATTGCTTCGTGGCCCCCAGACATGCTGTGTAGTAATTTGATGAAACACTTTGATTTAGGGATGTCCAACATGTAGGAGCCAAACTGGAATAATGAAGGTCCAGCAGCTGGATTTGATCGCAGGAACCTACCTGGAGGCCGGGCACCGAGATGAGGTGAAGAAGTCACACAGGCCCTTCTCATGTCGGGTCGGCTTTGTGCTGCAGATTCTCAAACATATTTACAATCCAATACGCACAAACCAGCTGATGCACTGCTGGCTCGGCCTGGAGCTTCTGTGGCTTCAGGTCAGTTGTCTGGTGGTAGAGACAACAGTCTGTGAACCAAGTCCAAGATGAAGTTCATGTTTTCATTTATTAACCGAACGAGATGGATTGGAGAATAAAATGTGTTTTTGCAAAGATAACTGGACTTTCATTTATAAAGCGCCTCTCTAGTCTTCATTATGAATCCCACTGCTCTTCATGGCAAGACCTGCCCCTTTTCTGTTTGAGGTACAGACCATTGGTTAAGGTCCAACAAGAACCTGGAGAGTTCGGGTCAGCATAGCCCCATTGATCACGGCACAGGCCCCGAACACGGCATCTTACCAGCACCTCAGCGAGCACGGACGTCAGGCCAATCCTGGCGCTCGAATGCTGCACAGGGCGGGTCTGGCCAAGAAGAGCAGTGGGATTCATAATAACGCCTCATTGAGGCTGCCAGACCAGGTGCTGCCTGCTCATCGGCTCTAGTTGAATCATGCGCGCGCACACACGCACACACACCGTGTTGGCCAAGGACACTTCATGCGAGTGGAGGAGCCGAGGATCAAATCAGTGTAAATTGTCTTCATTAGTTGCTTAGAAACAGGGTGAGTTTTGACCCACATCGCCATCCCTACGGCTGCTGCTGACGTGGCTAAAAACACCGTTCACCTGTAACATGATGCTGACTCACATTTTAAAAATGGCAGCATGACCAAATACACAGACAGGTGCTTTTGCTACTTTTATTGATTTGAGTGAGTGCAGCATTGAAGCTGACTGTAGGTTGATGCAGGAGGCCGAGGAGCCACGACAATAGAAGGTTTGGTGAGAGAGTGGTGTTTGAAACTATTAATTATTAGAGATAAAAAAACTAGTTTGGCCCGTTTCACCTCATCACTTTATGTACAAACGGTGCTACTGTGTTTTCAGTGCTGATGGGAGGACACCATGTGGTGCATTGGCCAAACAGTACAAAATACAATATATTGGTGGTGTTTTAATTAGATTTGAAAAAAACCTAAACCCACAAACAGTCTGTACATCTGCTGTGTACAATACTCTGAGTGAGAAACATGGTTACAGTCTGTGTACATGAAGGAGGTTTAGTGCTCTGAATACATTTCAATCTGTGGCCTGCCTGGAGAACAGCAGCACTTACTGATGTTAGAGTGGAAAACCAAAGTGAGACGTGATGTTGAACAGAACACGTTTCTCAAGTCAGGAGAAACATCCGCTCTCAGTCGGAAATCTTAAAATCTGAATTTCTTTGCACAAAAACCAACTGCTCGCCAAGTTCAACTTCCTCTGCTGTGCAATGCATTAGAAAAATAAACCTGATGTTTTACAGTCGATGATTGGTAAAAGCAAGTCGTGTCAAGTAGATAACTATAAAATGACATCTGAGACTGTTAAATAAGAAGAAAAGAACTCGAGGTAAAAGTAAGATCAACGCGGCTGTTCTGGAGGACTTCTAGTCTGCAACATGGAATGAAGTGAAAAGGCACATCACATTTCTCAAGCCGACACGTGAACTTCAGTGAATCACATGAACCCTCGCGGTGACGGACGTTCTGATGTCAGAGGAAATGTTCTCCGTTACCGACAGCGACTGCCTTTCTTCAAGGAAACAACGTTCCCAGTGAACCGGCTGCGGAACGTCGGACTTGTCTTTACTGATGAGAACACGGTCACAGTCCAAAGTATTTCGGAACCTTTTTTGGACGTTTTCATCATCGCTGATGTTTCTTGGCTTTCATAAAAACAGCTTCTTGGTCGCAGATCAGAAGACCAACGAGAGGTTTACAGGTTTCTCCAGAGCGTGTCGAGTGTCGTCTTAGTTCTGCCTCCGTGTGTGAATGTTCATGTTTGTGAGCTGAGGAAGAAAACGGATAAAAACTAAACGCTTTGGTCCATGTGTGACCCACGTTGAGCTGTTCAGGTTCATGTTCCAGAGCCACGTGATGGCGGCTCGCGTCCTAGCAGTCTGGGGAAACCCCGTTTGTTGTCTATCCGTTCTCCTTCCACAGTACTAAGTGAATGCTATGGTCGGGCATGCTGGTGGCAAACACCAGTCCAGAGTCATTGTCCCCGTCCAGCCCGTTGAGCCAGGACGTCACGCCGGCCAGGAAGCTGGACCCCCGCTTGGATTTCCTGTAGGCCGGTAGAGGCCAGCGGCCCGAGATGGCCTCCGTCCTCAGGTCCATCACATACAGGAAGTGGTTGTCGAAAAGCAGCGCGAACACCTCGCCGAAGCTGAGCAGGGACAGGTTAGCCGGGTCCTGTGTCTTTATCACCCTGAGGGACGGGAACAGGCTGCATTAGAGTTCTACACACACCAGACCATGACACTGAGCACACTGGGCTGGTAGGAGGACAACTGTTCCTCAGTGGAAACTGATGATTGATTTATTGTTTTCAAATGAATAACCCATTTGATTTCAGCCTCATCACCCCCCCCCCTCGTTACTCAAAACGTACCAACTTAACCTGTAATAATAAAAAAATGTGTGGTTTTCAATATTTTGTGTATTAAATGCTGTCGACAAAAAGGAGGAAAATCCCGTTGAGAGGGAACTAACGAGTGAACATGCAGCTCCAGAATGAAAAGATAGAACTGTTATTACCCTGTACTTCACTTGTTATTAATTCCTCTTAATAAATGATCCTGCTTGCACTGAATGTATCAATTAGAATGTGTTGCACTAGAGTTGAAACTGTTAAATGAATGTTTCTACATACAGTTACTTTTAATACATTCCTATAATACCGATCGAGGATCATAAATAAGATGACAATCGTAATAATAGTATGTCTGGCCGGTGCAGTTTTCATCTACCAGCCACGCTTTAGTATCCTGACTGTGGAGCTTTCCCCTCAGACGGATGATTCAGAGTTTTGAACTCATCTCTGAGATCTACAATGATGAAGATGATTGACGATGAAGATGCAATGTTTGCTGCTACTGAATAAACTGAGCCTCATACTTACTCATATCATTTGAAAGTGATATTTAGCCTCCTCACTCAGTCTACACTGTTTCAGCAGAATCTCACCTGTGACCTCGATACATCTCGTTAAATTTACACAAACGTCTGCATGAATACAAAGCTGGAGTTCAAAGGACACTTTATAAAAACAGCTCTAAAAGTACTTTCTTTGAATGTGCCTGTGGTTTTATAGTTATTATTATCTATGCTTTCATGTAATAGTTACATCAGCTCTCATGACATGATGATCGCTGAGAGCCACTGTTGTTACCTGAGAATCTCAAAACTGGCAAAGTCCCACTGGTAGACGCCGAGGTCTGAGCTGCAGACGATGTGGCGCCCGTCGAACTGCAGGCGAGGCTGCAGGCCGATGCTGCGGTCCTCCGACACGCACAGCGTCTTCAAACACTTGCAGTTGACTTCTCTGCCCAGAGGCCACACCTGCAGAGGGGACACGGTGTTTGAGCGGCTCGCTCACCAAACCAATGAGAAACCTGTCTTTACTCTCACAGGGCCGAGGCACGAGCGTTACCTTGATCTCATACTTATCAGCACTGAGGAGGATGTGATCACCAGGACTGTGCACCACTGACTCCACCTCGCTCTTCTGGAGGAGCACCTGACGGAGAGAACGCGTATAGACACAGGTTATAACAGAGCGTAAAGTGTTCAATGTGTAGAACCTGTGGAGCCTCTCAAACTGTAGTGACAACAAGTTGGATAAATAGATTATTTGTTTTCCATTTTTGTAAAAGAAATTATCAAAGAAATTCAACTTGTAGTTTTGTATGAGTTATAGCATTATAATTGTGTTATACTTTCCATAGCGGTGCAGGACCTAAATATATTATATATATATATATATATATATATATATATATATTACAGTGTAAATCAAAGCCACAGAGAGCAGAAACTGCTCAGGGTTCTTCAAACGTTCCTCTGTACTGAAGAACCAACACATTCCTCAGACAGTAAACAGCTTGAGAACATGGCGGACATCTGATTATTATTGAACACAATGTGTTATTTAATAAACAACATCATGAAAGCTGGAGCAGGTGCGCTGACCTTAGTGACCCACTCCGTGTGTCCGGTCAGAGTGTTGAGACAGGCGCCGGCCGTCAGAGCCCACACCTTCACCTGGAAGTCTGCAGAGCCGCTGACCAGCACGTCCAGCTCGTCGTTGTAGTCCACACTGAAGACTGAGCACACACACGGCTTTATCAGAAGCTCTCAATATCAAATGAATTCAGGTTCAAAATAAACGGCTTCTTGCACAGGATTCCTACAGCTTAAATATTTATTCGGTTTTAACGGCCAATTTTACAATAACTAAAATTATTAAAATTAAAGACACAAAAAGAAGAAACATGGAGTGGCACTACTTGATTAAGGATTCATTGTGCTGGAGTTCTCTGAGTGTCCCGCCCCAAAACTAAATTGAAGTGTTGTTGGTTTTGTTATCCTTAACAGCGTGACGTTAATGCGAGAGGCATTCAGTAAAGTATTACTAAAGAATAGAAGCTTGAGATTTAACAATGCAATAATCGGTCTTAGCATTTTTAAGACTTCTGACAGATTAGTTTAATACGATTCAGTCCAATCTGAGGCTTTATTTTAAGATGAATAAATTGAATGCCTTTTTTAACCCTCATACAAAATCAACCACACATATGGATATGATATATGCCTCTAAAAAAAGAGCTTGTAGAGTTCATGGTCCAAGCTGCTGGATACTTTCATTCAATTTGGTTGATTTCATTTCTGTTGGTACACCTGTGTATTTTGTATACGTACTTGAACACTGTAAACTACAATGGAATGTGCTACATAACTGAAGTGTTGCTTTTCACTCCAAGCAGCCCAGAACAGATGTTTGCTGAACGCTTAAACCAACCTGCTCCTGTGTGGCCACGGAACTGCTGGATTTTAGCTCCCGTGCTCCACTCCCAGCATGCAATAGTGTTGTCAAAGGACCCGGTCACCAGCTTCTGTTCATCGAATTTCACCGCGGCGCAGGTGTGCGTCTGAATTCCATAAATGCACTGCCCAGTGCGCACGTCCCACAACTTGGCGGAGAGGTCGTCGGATCCTGAAAGACAAGAGGAAGTCTGTTTTTACTCTTAGAGCTCTAACCCGCCTCTTAGAGCTCTGACCCGCCTCCTTGAGCTCTGACCCGCCTCCTTGAGCTCTGACACGCCTCCTTGAGCTCTGACACGCCTCC